GAGAGACAGAGCATGAACGGGGGAGGGGCAGAGAGAGAGGGAGACACAGAATCGGAAACAGGCTCCAGGCTCTGAGCCATCAACCCAGAGCCCGACGCGGGGCTCGAACTCACGGACCGCGAGATCGTGACCTGGCCGAAGTCGGACGCTCAACCGACTGCGCCACCCAGGTGCCCCACCTTTTTGCTTTTTTAAAAAAGATGATGACGGTCCCTGGGTGCCTCAGTCAGTTAAGCGTCTGACTCTTCATTTCAGCTCAGGTCACGATCTCGCGGTTTGTGAGTTCGAGCCCCGTGTCGGACTCTGCACAGACAGGAAAGAGCCTGCTTGAGATTCTCTGTCTCCCTCTCTCTCTGTCCCTCTCTCCCTTTCTCTTTCAAAAATAAATAAACTTTGAAAAAAGAAAAAAAGAAGATCAATAGGAATGTAAATTGCTGCAGCCACTATGGAAAACAATATACAAATTCCTTAAAAAATGAAACCTAGAACTCCCTATGATCCAGCAATTCCACTTTTGAGTATATATACCCGAAAGAAATGAAACCAGTTTCTAGAAGAGAACCCCCATATTCACAGCAGCATTATTTATAACAGCCAAGACACAGAATAACCTGAGTCCATCAACAGATGAATAAAGAAATGTGGTACACATCTACACAATGGAATATTATGCGGCCATGTGTCACTTGTGGATGGACTCTGACGGCATGATGCTAAGTGAGGAGTCAGACGGAGGAAGACAAACAAGCTGTATGATCTCACTTATATGTGGAATTGAAAAAACAAACACTCATAGAAACAAAGAACAGATTGGTGGTTCCTAGAGGCAGGGGTGGAGGGTAGGGGAAATGGGTGAAAGTGGTCAAAAGGTCCAAACTTCTAGTTATAAGATGAGGATGTAATGTGTAACGCAGATGACTACAGTTAACAGTACTGTATTACGTATTCGAAAGCTGTTAAGAGAGTAGGTCTTAAAAATTCTCATCGCAAGAAAACAATGTGTTAATTATGTGAGGTGATGGATGTTAACTCACTTAGGCGATCATTTTGCGCGCGCTCGCTCGCGCTCTCTCTCTCTATAAATCATTATGTTGTACACTTTAATGCAAAGTTGTATGTCAATTATCTCAGTGAAAGTAGAAGAAAAGAAAGAGACCCTCTAGTAGCAGGAAAAAAAAAAAAGCACTCAGGAAAACTAGCACTACAGTGCTGCCATCACATTAATCCTGAGACGTGCTTTTGTTTACACTGACTCAGCAACCCCTTCCATCCATCCATCCATCCATCCATCCATCCATCCATCCAGATCTTACCGATCCCTGCCAAGTCCCACCCTTTCTGGACATTCATTCACGTTCATTATTCAAGGACTGTCCACAAAACCTCATCCAAGTCACTTAACCTCTCTGCCTTAGTCTCCACAGCTGAGAAATGGGGAAAATAGTAAGAACTGCCCGAAAGGGTTATTGTAAGGAGGAGCTGGAGAGAGAAGGGAGACATGGCAAGTGCTCTGCTAATGTATGGTATATGGTATGCACTCAAGTCCTTGAAATTCTTACAAATATCCAAGCTATTCTTGGTCTACAGATGAGCAAACATATCCAAGACTTGCTCACGGTCACATAACTGGTAAATGGCTGACCTGGGACTAAAATCTAGTATCTGACCGCAAAATGACCAACCGTCCCACCAGTTCATAGCTTGTTGGGCACTGTGTGTCTGAATCCTGTGGCTTTTACTGTCTGGATCACATAATTTGGCCCCTGTTCATGTTTGCTTGAGCCGTTTGGCAGGTTACCCAATCCTGACTCCCCATCTAGTCAGTAAGCTTCTTGAAGGCAAGGTTTGCCTCATATTTAAAAAGTTTTGCAATTTTGGTAGGGGTGGTGGAGGGGGCGGGGAGGGAGGAGAGGTTATAGGCGATGGGCTTGGGTAGATAATAAATATTTGTTAATCAAAATAACTACACAGAGACTAGCCTCTTTACTCAGTGACACCTAGAACACGAGCTAATGGGGTTAATAAGGTAGAGAATGTTTGTGCAGAGAAAACATTTTGCTGCACGTGCCAGGAATCCTGTCGGGTTTATGGGATAATGCATTTAGAGTTCGTTGAACGACTTAAAGGCTGGGAAGAGCCCGCATTGAGTGCCTGACGGCGAAGGGAACGGTACCTGGATGTCCCGTGAGCGCTCATAGGCCTGGTAGGCCACCTTCTCCTCGATGCTGGCCAGCTCCTGCTTCAGGTTGGCTGTCTCGTGCTGATGCAGATCCGTCAGGTCGTGCAGCTGGTCTTCCAGTCGCTCGTACCTTTGCAAAGACAGGAGCTGATTCTGAGTGTGACACTTCAAAGGTCTCCTGGTTTTCATTCCCCAGAAGACTATGCTTCCAAAAGAATACGTCCAGCTACAGGGAACATGCTTTTGGCTAACCGTGAATTCCAGCTAAAAGCACTGGTCTCTGTCACATTACCTTCTGCGTCCTCACTCCTGAGGTTTCACACACACCGAAGTTGGCTTCCCCACCTCATCAGACAAGCTGAGAAATGGGGAAAATAGTAAGAATTGCCCAAAAGGGCTGCTGTAAGGAGGAGTTGCGGTGACGACACAACAGGCCTGATGCAATGGACAGGGAGGGCTGTCTGGGGTCCGGCTCAAGACAAGGACCTGCTGGTGTCCCCCCTCCCCCCCTTCTGCCTGCACAGCACCTTCTGGTTCACAGGCATGGCTTGAGAGCCCGTAAGGAAAGAACCAACTTCTACACTAGAGTTAACTCCATTTCCCAAGGCATACTCTGATTCTGAAAACATGCTTCAATTCTTGGAACTTAGTGCTGATAAAAACATTAAACTCATTAGAAATTATAGGGAGCCTGGGTGGCTCAGTCAGTTAAGCGGCCAACTTGTCATGATCTCAGGTCATGATCTCATGGTTTGTGAGTTCAAGCCTGGCGTTGGGCTCTGTGCTCCCTGCATGGAGCCTACTTCGGATCTTCTGTCTCCCTTTTTCTGGCCCCTCCCCCACTCAGGCACTCCCTCTCCCTCTCTCTCTCTCAAAAATAAATAAACTTAAAAAAAAACATTTTTTTTTTTTTTTAATTTTTTTTTTAACGTTTATTTATTTTTGAGACAGAGAGAGACAAAGCATGAACGGGGGAGGGTCAGAGAGAGGGAGACACAGAATCTGAAACAGGCTCCAGGCTCTGAGCTGTCAGCACAGAGCCTGACGCGGGGCTCGAACTCACGGACCGCGAGATCATGACCTGAGCCGAAGTCGGCCGCTTAACCGACTGAGCCACCCAGGCGCCCCTAAAAAAAAACATTTTTAAAGAAAGAAATTATAAATGACTTACAAGTGGCATTTCCAAAAGTCCAAATCTTAAGTAACGGAAGAACAAAGATTGTCATTCCCACCTCCCATTTCCCTCAAAGAAGAGGGATTTGTCTTATATTTGAAAACTTAGAATGTTTATTGGAAAACAGGAAGCACTATTTGGGTAATGCATTAGCCTGAAATGACTTCTATCAATGTCAGTGTTAGATGCTTATATAGGTCACCTGACAGAATCATATAAGAGAGAGACAGAGGGAGGGAGACAGATTATATGTCAATTATACCTCAAGAAAAAAAGTGAGATCAAAAAGTAATTTCATGCAGGGGTTCCTGGGTGGCTCAGTCGGTTAAATGTCCGACTTTGGCTGAGGTCACGATCTCACAGTTCGTGAGATTGAGCCCCATTTCCGGCTCTGTGCTGACAGCTCAGAGCCTGGAGCCTGCTTCAGATTCTGTCTCCCTCTCTCTCTCTGCCCCTCCCCCACACGCTCGCTCATGCTCTCTCTCTCTCTCAAAAATAAATACACTTAAAAAAAAGTAATTTAATGAAGATTTAATAATTATTCTCAGATAGGACTTCATAGGTACCCAATGTTGGCGTAAAAGCCTTTTAAAGATCTCTTACAGCAAACAATACAGTCAGAGGCTAACCCTTGGACAATCACAAACATAACTACACGACAAATGAGGAAACTACCCTAAATTTATATAAGTGGGTATTTGTGAGTTGGAATAAAATTTGGATCTAAAGAGTAGTATATCCCGAACTATTCAGATGGAATTGAAGTCAGTATTTTCTGGAAAACCTGTGACTCAAAAATAGTTATGTGAGAAAGACACTAGAGTCAAAGATGTATGCTGAAAGTTTTAAAAAATGGTTTCATAGAATATAAGAGCTGAAAAAAGCCACATTTACAAATTAATACATTTAAAACCATTTTGAGATATAAAGTATGTAAGTTAAATTTAAAGTTTAACCTTACAATATGTAATGGGCTTTTAATATTTTTTTAATTTTTAAAATTTTTATTTATTTTTGAGAGAAAGAGAAACAGCATGTGAGCTGGGCAGGGGCAGAGAAAGAGAGACACAGAATCCGAAGCAGGCTCTGGGCTCTGAACTGTCAGCACAGAGCCTGATGCAGGGCTTAAACTCACGAACCACCAGATCAGGACCTGAGCCAAACTTGGACGCTTAACTAACTGAGCCACCCACGTGTTCCATGGGCATTTAACTTTTTCTCTACATTTTTATAAGTTAACATGTTCGTTTTGACTAAAAACAAAAACAAAACAAACAACCACAATTTTGGGGGCACCTGGCTGGCTCAGTTGATAGCAAGCATGTGATTCTTGATCTCAGGGTTGTGGGTTCAAGCCCCACACTAGTACAGAGATTACTTAAAATCTTAAAAAAGCAAAACAAAACAAAAACTTTGGGGAATCTTTTTACTGAGAAATAGTAGAAAATCACTTCTTATTAATATTTTTATTAATTAGTTATAGGCACATAAAATCTAGCCTATAAATACCTTTTAGAAGTAGCTAATATAGGGGTGCCTGGGCGGCGCAGTCAGTTATGCATTGGACTCTTGATCTCGGCTCAGGCGATGATCTCATAGTTCGTGGGTTTGAGCCCTGCATGGAGCTCTGCACTGACAGCGTGGAGCCTGCTTGGGATTCTGTCTCTCCTTCTCTCTGTCCCTCCCCCACTTGTGCATGTGCTCTCTCTCTCTCAAAATAAATAAACTTTAAAAAGATGAGCTAATATAAAAAAATAAAATTAGCTAATATAACCCACAAGATTTGAATTTATACTTTGCTCTTAAGATTTCTTTTGAAAACTCTTTATTTATGGTGAAAAGTTTAGTAAGCAAAATATCGTACATAAAAAAAATGTACACTATATAAAAACTTGAAGATTAATGTGCCAAAGAAAATCTACCTTGTTGAACAATGCAGTGATTTCTTTTTAAAATGGTTATTTATTATTTTTGAGAGAGACAGAAACAGAGAGCATACGCGTGCAGGGGAGGGGCAGAGAGAGAGGTAGACAGAGGATCCGAAGTGGGTTCTGCGCTGACCTGATGTGGGCTCAAACTCACAAACCGCGAAATTATGACCTGAGCCGAAGTAGGACGCTTAGCTAACTGAGTCACCCAGGTTCCCCAACCATACAATGGGTCATTTACTTGACAGTTATCATGGAGGAAAATAAAATACAGACCTATGAATTAGTGTAACAAAACTTTATGACAGAAGTCTACTGGAGCTTAAGAAGGAACTCCATGTGCACATAAGCTACAGACTATATAGCGACATTTTAACAGACTCACACAACTCTCTCTGAAGTATCAACCTGTACGTCACAAACTATAAAGTTTAGAATCACGAAGTATGGAAAACACTACTGATTTTAAATGTTTTTTTGATCCACATCCATATTCATGGAAAACACAACCATGAGCGTGTCACTTCCAAGCAATCTCTCTGCACTTAGTAGGTCATGCTTCTAGAAGAATTCCAAGAGAACAGTCTGACATACCTGTATCTTTCCTCTTGCAGCGTCTGAGAAATAAAACCGTATTCTCTCTTAAACTGCACCTTCAGCGCCTCGATGTCCTCGGCCAGCTGTGCCTGGGTGTCCTTGATCTCCCTCAGCTCCTCCAGGATCATGGTGAGCTTGCCCTGGCTGTCCAGCGTGCCAGCTCCGCTGGCCCCGAAGGACTGGTTTCCGTTACTGTCGGCGGAGCCCGACGTGCCACTCGAACACTCGTCATCGCTGCCGTACTTGGGTTTGTTCACAATGGTGGCGCTGCCCCCATAGGCCCGCGGACTCCCTTCAGGCCTAAATTCCTCCAGGGAATTTTTTAAGTGAGCGATGTTATCGGCGCTGCCAAACTTATTCCGGATCAGGTTGGCAAACTCCCTGGACTTATTGAAGACGAACACGGGCGGGGTGAGGGACACGCCCGGCATGCCCGATTTACCACACTCCGTGCCGTGGGGAGCAGTTCGAGACTTCGCGTGGGCATCTTTCAGGGAGTGCGGCACGTCCTTCAGGTTGTCTTTGGCAATGTCCTTTGCGCTTCTGGAGGCTCCATTCTGCTCGATCTCCCTGAGCTTTCTATGATACTGTTCTAACTTCTTCTGAAGCTGGGCAATGGAGTGAGCGGACTTCTGATTCTTCTTCTCAAAGACTTGCTTGATGCGGCCCGCCTGCTGCTTGTCTGCGCTGTTGACTAGTTTCAGATACTCTGCAACATTGCCGTCGCGGGACGTCTGCTCGATTTTGATCTGCTCTGTCACCTTCAGAATTTTTTGTTTCAGGCTGTCCGCACTGAGTTTGACCTTGTGGAAGTCCAGGATGCCATCCGGTACGTCAAAGTTGAGGTTGGTGTCGGACCCCCCTCGGCGAATGTTCAGGGGCAGGCTTAGGGTGTTCATGTCATGTCGCTCTACCTGAAAGAGACAGGGAGGAAGCACTTGAAGACTTGAAGGCAAAGGCACAGTTACTGTGATAGAATCTGGGCACACACTACAGACATACTTCAGGTCCCAGATCTTTAAACTGCAAGTATTCCTAAGATAAAAACTCCCAGTTGAACAGAGGACAGCCCAACTCCTTCCTGCATCCATGTGTACTAGGAGATTCAGGTTTCCCAGGGCTTCCAATGTTTTGTCTCATTACATGTAATTGTCAGTTGCCAGGGTGGAAAATGCATAATGGGACAAGGTTACCCTCAGTCCTAGTTTCCCCAAATGCCCAGGTAACTAGGGTGCCTGCCATGCTCCACGCACGGTGAATTTCGACACTGTGGGAAATGCATCCAGTTCAGACCTCAATCACTTAAGAAGAAGAATGAGGGAAAAGTTCCAGCAGGTACATTCATCATCAACACAAGAAATTATTTTCTTACTGGAATCATTAAGCAGATGTGATGGGATAATATGATGCAAGATTAATTTTACTGAGTAACGGGACAGTGTGTACAGGTGGAAATAACCCAACCACAACAGAAGTGATTAAAAAAAAAAAGAACAGCAAGTGATAATACCCTGTGAAATGGCTTTCTCACTCAAGGGCCACCTGGGGAAGAAGTGCAAAGTATCACTGAGCACCACAGGTTTGTGCCGGGAAAGGGAAAGGGAAAGGGAAAGGGAAAGGGAAAGGGAAAGGGCAAGGGCAAGGGCAAGGGCAAGGGATAGGGCAAGGGATAGGGCAAGGGCAAGGGCAAGGGCAAGGGATAGGGATAGGGATAGGGATAGGGATAGGGATAGGGA